ACAATCCAACTACTTTATAGGGTCATACAAATTGGACAATGTTGATTCTTTCTCCGATCTATAAATGTCACTGTGATGAAATGTAGTCAGTTTATGTTTATGTAATCCATTGCATGCTATCACAAATTCTATACTAGGCTTGGAAATAGTAGACCCTGGCATTGTCAAATTTTATATTATAGCCATTGCTTGCTGTTGTTTGTTTAATGTATATTAAGTTAGTTTATGGTATTTATTGATCTAATTTATATTTGTTGTATAATTACTAATTGCCAGCTGTTGATCTATCTGTAGCCGGTATTGTTAAACCACTACTAACCCGCCTTAGAGAGGTAGCCCCCTCGGTTTAAGCCAGTTAATTCTTACAAAAAAATTAAAATATTGATAATTGATAAAAATGTTTACAATTCTATAAGTCTATTTAACAATATCTAGCACTCGGAATATTTATTCATGGCATAATTATACAAGGTAGTCTCATGCTGTCATATGTTTCCAATTTGTTCAAAAATTTGATTTTGACAACATTCAGCTGTCAAAATTTAAATTAAAATGCCTTCATTCGAAATGTACGCATTGGCAATAATTGCTAAATCATATATATTTATTAATATTTTGAAGTTATCTACCTCTAAAACTTAACAACATAAGTTGTAACAACAATTTGGAAACCAATGTGCAGCTATAGAAAATATATTTTGTTAAATTTATTAAAATTATTTTTGGTTGATGCGCGCAAAAGTTATCGACGTTTTAATTTTGGGCATAAGAAAAAAATCTTAAAATTACGCCGTTTATTATATTGACCAACAACTTTGATATATATCTTCCTCCGTAAAATAAGAATATGCATATATTATGATAATCACGATAAAGTTGCACATATTCGCGAAATATGAGAAAAATAAAAAAATATATAGCAGATTACATCAATATTTTCATTATATTAATGACATACACACACCTAAAAATTAATTCAAAAATATCTACATAATCTAAACACCATGGTGAATCAAATGATATCAAAATCACACAAGTCCGTGTAGCGGTTTCTAAATCAAAGCGACAATAAAACAAGATATTGAGGAAAAATATTTGTTTTTGGTTCGAAAAAATATAAATTTATTTTTTAATTGTATACAAGAAATTTCAGAAAAAAAATGTTGGGGTTATTCTGCTATTTTACCCGAATTTCGCCGAAAAATTGACATATATAATAATCACTTTTTGTGTATAAGTATACGCCTTGCGTATTTTATCAAGACCCTTCCTATAAATCTTAGAATTCTATAAATAGAAATAAATCTTAAAATAAAATAATATTATGAAATATACATTTTAAATTGCGTGTAAATCGCGTAATTCTCAAAATCATTTGATGCGTATGCGGTTTCCAGGAAGTACTGAAGTTTATCTTCCAATCCATATATATTTTGCGAAATTTCATTTGACGGCTAAGATGTGCCACGCGTTACATTGAAGTACCCAAAAAATCGTAAAACGCGAATAATTTCCGAAAACTCCATATGCCATTAACGCGCATCCGATTTCGGTGTGCACCCTAAAAAATACAACGATCTACACCGTTTTCAATGTGGTCCATTAAGAACCATGGATGTGCCAGCTCACACTATTTTTGAAATAAATTGCGTCTAAATCGCGTAATTCTCAAAATCATTGGATGCGCATGCGGTTTCCAGGAAGTACTGAAGTTTATCTTCCAATCCATATATATTTTGCGAAATTTCATTTGACGGCTAAGATCTGCCGCACGTTACATTGAAGTACCCAAAAAATTGTAAAACGCGAATAATTTGCGAAAACTCCATATGCCATTAACACGCATCCGATTTCGGTGTGCACCCTAAAAAAATACATCGATCTATACCATTTCAATGTGGTCCAATAAGAACCAACGATGTGCCAGCACAATCTATTTATGAGATAAATTGCGTACATCTCTCTTTCGGCTGAAGTTTTTAAAGTTCTCTTTTCGAAAAAGATCAAAATCCGTAAGAGGTCATTTATTGAAGCGGAAATGATACACAGAAAACGCAAATAAATCCGCGATATTTTCAAAAACATTTTTTGCCAAATTTCGTGTTTTTGGAAGGCCTGTTCTCGCCGTTCTAGTAGATGGATTTTCGCCAAGAAGATTTTATATCATCCGAAAAGTAAAAAACCTTATTGATCGCGGGTACCCATATCATTCAGTTGACAGATCTAAATATTTGGCCCGAAAAATAGGTTTTTTAGAAATTTGATCGCACAAAATTCGCACCTTCGGATGAGTATTACTCTGAAGCTGTGCATACTACATACACAAAATACATATCAAATTACGCAGATTCGCGACTACAATAATCTTATAATCGATTTTTATAAATTCCTGTTTGCGCAAATGAATCCGCGATATTTTAAAAAACATTTTTTGCCAAATTTCGTGTTTTTGGAAGGCCAGTTCCCGCCGTTCTAGTAGATGGATTTTCACCAAGAAAATTTTATATCATTCGAAACGTAAAAAACCTTATTGATCGCGGGTACCCATATCATTCAGTTGACAGATCTAAAAATTTGGCCCGAAAAATAGGTTTTTTAGAAATTTGATCGCACAAAATTCGCACCTTCGGATGAGTATTACTCTAAAGCTGTGCATACTACATACACAAAATACATATCAAATTACGCAGATTCGCGACTACAATAATCTTATAATCGATTTTTATAAATTCCTGTTTGCGTATTAAAGCTAGAAGTAAAATTAAAAAAAAAACACTCCAAATCGAGCTTCAAAATGTCAGCATCATTTAAAGGTAGATGCAGTTAAAATTTTGAAAAATGATACATAAGGGGCGTAGTCCCCATTTTGTTGGCTTCTAGTTTTACTTTGACACGAAGAGCGTGAAATGAGTGGCTTAGTCACAAATCGATAGAGAACATAAAAAAAATGGTTCGCCTCAACCTGTTTTTACACATTTATTAACATTAAACACAGCTTCTACCAAAATAAAGTTTGGAGGTCAATATCATGAACAGTTTGCAACGACAGATCAATTAAACCAAAACTATTTACTTTTTTTCATATACTTAAGTTGTTCCCGAGTTATAAAGGGGTGAACCTCCGCTTCAGCTATGTTAAAAAATTGGCAATATTGCCCATATACATTTTATACATTGTCATCATAAATGCAAACAAAATTTGACTTTTTGTCGTTCTGGTAAAAAAATCGCTTATTACAAATTTTTATATTTAACAATTGCTGATATAATAACAAATACTGGTACAAAATTTTAAACTATAAATGCAAGTCTTTTGTCTCATCTCCTTGTAAGAAAATGTTTGTTTTGTCGGTATTTTTTTGTATATCCTTAACAAAAAGATTTTGCCCATTTTTCAGTACATCGGAAGTCCCTAAAGTATAATGTATTTCCAGTGTGAGTGGAAGCATTACTGCAAATAAATATCAGCACTGTTATTGTAGAAATTTTACACATTTGCGTTTAAAAGTGTCAACAATTTAGTACTTTGGTGTTTAGCGGTCTCGTCCGTTTTTCATTACCAAAATTCACATAATCATTCGCTGTAGTATAGATCCATGTGGGATTGGAATTATTTTTTATTAATAAAAGTGCAATAATAATGCATTGATAGGGACGGAATATTTTTAATGCCTCAAGTGACGACAAGGAAACGTGAGCTTAAATCAGTTTTAAATCCGGCCGCTGATTCCGCTGTTCCACATATACAACTTGGGTTCCAGAATGCAAATATACATATAGACGCCTCCGAACCATACTATGCTAAGTCAACTTAGCATATTTTAAAGTTCTTTGCGTTTTTAGATACTACGGTCCTTAATTTAAATTCTTTGAAATTTTGGTAATCATCGGCCAATCCAAAACAAAGTTATAAGCAAAAATGTACTTAGCATGGCACGTAAGATTTAAGAAACTTCCATTCCATGATGTGGTAAGTACACATTTCACATTTTTACAAATGATATGAGTTCGATTGCGCAGAAAAAGCTGAAATTGGCACAAAATATGTCAAAAGGTAATAGCAATTTATATTTAGTTTTATATTATGTTATTAATCTGATTTCGGTTCTAAAAAGGAGAAGTAATAACTACAGAGACCATGCTAAGTAACAAAGAGGAAAATAAAGGAAAGCAATTTAAGAAGACATTAGTTCTCGCGTTTATAAAATATATCATTGTGCATATGTTTGTAACAGGCAAAAGAAAACGAGATAGACCCATAGTTCCTTTTGAGAATATGCATAAAATCACTTTCTGAGTCGCTTTATGCATGTCCTTCAAAATGAATTGAATACTATTCTTCGGAGGCGTCGTTTATTGACAGATTTATGACCTACAATTTTTCTACCAAGAAGCCACTTCTTCGAAAAATATATTGTAATTAAAATATAAGCAAAATTTCCAAGGAGCCAAGGCTTACATGTGGGACACTTTTCAAAATTATTCGACCTGAAGAAATGTATAATTTTCTTATTTATTTTTTTCAAAACCTATTTGTCAGCATGACAATTTAATTTCTATAACAACAATGTTGTTTTTGTAAAATGTTGATTGTTGTATCTGATGCATACACCTTATTAAATACACCTTGAAAATGGCTAGAAATAAATACAGTACACCGATAAAACAGCTAATTGCCAATGATTTATCACTAAATTTGGTACAATTTATTACTAAATTTGATACAATTTGAATTTGGGTCAATCGATAAAGCTGGAATCCTGAAATTTGGAGGTAGTATCATTGTTGGGGTGTAGGATGGGTGTACATAGGAGGTTTTGGAAGTTCACAATAATGTGTACTAAAAGGTACCAAATTTGGATTTCTATGAACGGATAGAGCTGGTATCTTGTGAAATTTAAAAAAAATATATATATATGCAGAAATAGCATCAAAAAAGGGTATAGAATACTATATAGGTAAAACAACATAATTAAAACAAATGTGTAGTTAATACTTACAAGATCAGTGCCACGACCAGATTGTGATGAATTGGTATTAAAATTATAGTTGGAATCCTGGGATGAACCGTAAGGGGACCTAAAGAAATGGGGTGAGTAATAAAAATATATAATTAATATCATTTATCTTATATTCATCTTTCTTGAACTATAACTACAATAAAATACATATGATTTTTTAAATAAGAAATTATAATTACATATATATATATATATATATTTTGAAATTAATAATATTTTATGGGAAAGGAAATTGTCTCAATTTTTGCTTGGACAAAACTAAAGGAATTTTAATGTACAAGCAGATGAGCTCTGAAGTTTTAATTATTTTTAATCACTTTGTTTCCGTCTCTATACCCATTTCGATTCTTCTAGATCCTTTTTAACAGGCTTTTGTTTCAATGATATAGAGCTGTTTTCGATTTTGATTATGAAAATAATTTCGGAGAAAAATTCCATGAATAAATCAGGGATTTCTCGAATTATAAGACGATTTTATGCAACTATGTATATCAGTAGTGACTGTTCAGCACGGAGGAAGACTGCAAAAGATCATCAGTTCGTACTGATCAACAAATTGTCATAGAAGTAAAAAAATATACACGGAAGATTTCAACGGAATGCTTGAAACTATCAAGAAAATTATTTTATTTCTGAAAAGAATCGGAAAGCCAGTTTGCCTTTCGCAAAAGCTCATATTTATTGTAATTCGACTCAGTGGATAAATATTATGTACTCGGATGAATGAAAGTTTAAATATTAAGAACTCGGACACAAGCTGACATAGCCTCTTCCTAAACAAACAGACATAGCCTCTTCCTAAAGGATTTATTTATTCAATGTCTCGTAGGTGTGCTGCCGTAATGATAAATAATGGATATGCTGTCGATTACTAGCAAAATTTGCTTATTTATAAGAACAAATCAAAAAGCTGATTTAGTTTTGACCAAGCAAAAATTGGGTAAATTTAGTTTTCCATAGACTATTTTTTATTTCAAAATAAACTTTTCTGTTATACTTTGTTATTGAATAAATTAATACTATTTATTTCTGAAAAAACTCTCACTATAACTTTATTTACTCAGTTTGCAATTTTAGTTGCTTTGGTCTGACAAGTGACCCGCAAACCTTGCCTTGCCTAGTAATTTTGTTAAAGAATTTTTTTGGAATTCTAGATTTATTTTTCAATTCCCAATAAATATCCAAGAAAATTTTTGGTATAGATTAACTTAATGTCTATCGTCCCATATTTCATCTTGATCGTTGTATCGAAGTTTTAGCACATATTTCAACATAATTCGTTGCTGTATAGAATTTCGAGTTACATTTGGATTTGTAAATTACTTTGTAAAAGGCACAACCACCTTTGAAAAACATATTTTAAAGGAAGTCGACTTACTTCAATAGGTTACCGTTATCTTATGTCTAAAACAGAACGTTTGATCAGAATTCACATAAAGTAAAAAATTGCAGTAAAGTATATCCACAATTTAAGGGGACCTCCCCCATAAATTTTCAAAATTTTCATTGGGCACATATATAATTGAAAGAGAAAAATAATTTGCAAAAATTGATTGTTGTTGTTGTAGCAGCCCTTATTGCTTTTACACAATGGGCTGAGGTGACAGACGTTGGCCGAGTAAGACTCGGGTCTTTTCGGATCGTAGACCCCTCTGTCGTGGAAACGAAAAACAAAAATTGATTGTTGTTGTTTTTGGTGATTAAAGAAATGTAGTTATTTTTGATGGCGGGCATGATAACTCCTCACTGGAACATCGGAAAATCAGGAAATTCCAAGGGTGTTAGAAAGAGTACATGTCTGGCTCTCGTATGAACTAGGATTATTGACTACGCAAAAAATTAACAATTTGGCGGACATTTGTAAAAAAGTGTCGGAGTAGTAGTTTAGAGTAGTTTTTATTATGGTATTTACGGTTGTATGAATTTATGTTTTAATTTTTTAAATTTTTATTATTTTTGGGTAGTTTATCCTTCACTAGGTTAAGCACTACATATGCATTTTATAATTTATCTTTAATGGGCCTGTTGTAATTATTTATATAGAGATGGCAACCATATCATTATTACACTTTCATATGTCATTGTTATTATTCTTTCATGTCATCTGCATAACATACATACACTCATACATTGTAATTTCATCATTCTCTTTTTACCATCTTCATGTGTATAGATTGACACCATTTTGTATTAGTATGTCTTAGCTTTTGTTAAATAAAGTAATTCTTAAAATAAGCAAGCGTGCAGCATTTTTGACTCAACCATCGTTCCCACGAATACAACAATTTGGCGACGAGAGTAAAACAAGATTGATCAAATTAAAATTAGCCAAGTGCAAGGTTAATATTTCAACAAAGTATAAGACGATGGATTCCACACAATTCCAAGCCTTTTTGAAAACGCAGGAAGCGTTGGTTGCGCAACTGGCGAGATTAACAACAGGTGGTAGTGCGCCACAGGGAAATCAGGGCAGTAGCAGCAACAACAGCATCAACACAGCGTTAGTACCCAATTTTGATATGTTTGACACAACGAAGGAAACATACCAAAATTACATCGAAAGGTTTTCGAATTACATAACCATGAAAGGTGTGCATGAAAATAATGCGTATTGTGCAATGTTACTCCTTAATTCAATCGGGTCGAAATATTTTAACATGGTTACTGCGTTGGCGGCACCAAAGCATACATCACAGCTGAAGTACGACGAGCTGCTAAAGATTTTGGGAGATCATTTGGCTCCCAAAAGAAGTGTATTGGTTGCTCAACACAAATTCTTATCGATTTACCAGAGAGAAGGACAGTCTGTAGCCGAATTTGTGGCATCTCTTCGTGCAGAGATTGATGCATGCGAATTTGTCTCCCCGTGCGAATGTGGAATCTCCATTGCTAATGTTTTTCTAAGGGCACAGTTTATCCGAGGTATACACGACAACGGTATTCGGGAACAACTTCTCCAAACAAGTTCTGCGGAATTCGAAGAAATTGTTTTAAAAGCATTGGCATTGGAGGCAGCTAAGGTGGATGCTAGGGAATTGTCACAAGTCAACAGTTCTGTTGACATAAACAAAATTTTCAGCAAAAACAAGCCCCACAAAGCGAAATTCAAAAGGCCTGAAACTGTACGATCAGGTAAAATCAATTATGCGCAATTAGGAATTGCCGGGTTATGTTTACATTGTGGTAAAAATAATCATTATGCGAGAGAATGTCGATCTAGTAAAAATCTTAAATGTAACTTATGCAGTAAACGTGGTCATGTGGCTAAAGTATGCATAGCTACACTTTTGGCGGATGGTCCTAATGCCGGACAAAATAAAAAGTTTTCGAACACCACAAATCAAGTTCAAAGTGCAGATCCCGAGTACGGAATTTTTAAAATTGTGGATGTGTACCAGAATGAATATACAGATGCACAACGATACTATGCTGATATTTCTATAGAAGGCAAGGTGGTAAGATTCGAAGTCGATTCAGGATCTGGATATTAATTTTTACCCAGAAGCCAATTCGCAAAATTAAATATGGATGACAAAATAACTCCAACAAAAATAGTTTTCCGATCCTATACGCAGAATAAATTCATTCCGGATGGAAAAGTTCGGGTCAGTATTAAATTCAAAAACAGTACAATAAATGATGATATTTATATCGTTCCAGATGAGTGTTCTGCTTTAATTGGACGGACGTGGATACGCCGTCTAGGCATCAATTTGAATGAACTAGATGAGTGTGATTCAAATCCTGCAATGATTAATGTCGTGGGAAGCACAAACGATGTGCAAGAATTTGCGACCGAATTTGCTAGTGTTTTTCAACAGAACATTGGGTGCATTCCCAATTATAAAGTCACTCTAAAATTGCGGGATAATGCTACTCCAGTGTACACAAAAGAGCGTCAAATTCCATATGCATTGACAGAGCGTGTCAATAAAGAGCTTGACGAACTGGAGAAAGCTTCTATAATTACAAAAATTTCAAACAGCGATTGGGGATCGCCATTAGTCGTAATTCCGAAGGCGGATGGTGGGGTACGTTTATGCGTCGACTACAAGGTGGGCGTAAATCAACGCCTAGTAGATGCACATTATCCAATTCGGAAAATCGATGAAATTTTCAACAGTCTAAGAGACTCTAAATTCTTTTGTCGTCTAGATTTATACAAGGCATATCTACATGTACCCGTCGATGATATGTCCAGCGAGATACAAACTATATCAACTCATAGAGGCACATATAAAATGAATCGCCTTTCCTTCGGGATTAAAACCGCACCCGCGGAGTTCAATAGAATAATAGATCAAATATTAAGGGAAACTCCTAAAACAGAATCGTACTTTGACGATATCGTCGTTCATGGTGCTACATTGGAAGAGTGCAAGTCCAATTTGAGAGCATGCTTGACACAATTGAGTAAATACGATCTGCATTTAAACATGGCAAAATGTAAATTCTTCGAAGAACAAATCGAGTTTTTGGGACACACCATACGTCACAATAAGGTGCAAAAGTCCTTATCAAAAGTACAGGCTATTTTGGAAATGCCTAAACCTGAGTGCGTAGAAGACGTTCGCCGGTTCCTCGGAATGGTGACGTATTACTCAAGATTCATACCAAACTCAGCTACGATTACAACTCCATTACGACACCTATTGCGGAAGAATGCTGTCTTCAAATGGTCATCCAATTGCAATAAATCTTTTGAAACGTTAAAAGCAGAAATCGCTAGTGATCGTGTACTAACACCTTTCAACCCCGATTTACCATTGCAGCTTGCATGTGACGCTAGTCCGACAGGGATAGCAGGAGTGTTGTCGCACATCATAAACGATGAAGAAAGACCCATAGCGTTCGCTTCGAGGTCGCTAACGTCGGCGGAGAAAAATTACTCTCAATTAGATAGAGAAGCGTTAGCTATTGTTTACGCTGTACAACACTTCCATGAATACGTCTACGGCAGACTATTCAAATTGATCACGGATAACCAGCCATTGTCAAGAATATTCCACCAACATTCGAAATTGCCTCAAATGACATCTTCGCGACTTCAGCGGTACG